GCTGGAAATGAAACTGACTTTGGAAGACATACTAGGCTTACTGAACTTTAACAAAAGGTCATAAGTGAGTGTTTCAATTGTTAAGTTTTTTGCGTGTGTGCCCCTTGTGTTTTTTTTAATATTATCTTGTATGTACAGATCTTATGAAATGGATCCGACATATGAGGCACAAACAACTTTTTGCACAGCCCTATTACCTACACACAAAAAATAAAGATATTACCCCTATCTTGCCAACCTTTGGAACTCTAGGATGAAGAAGATGCCAAACTTTGATTTCAGAGGAGATGGAAATGGAGCAACAGGAAGCATATACCATTTGTGCTTCTGATTCTGTCTAAAATATCACTAGATCTGAATCTATGACTCACATAACTGCCTGTGATGGGAAGGGTCTCTATTCCCCCAGTGAAAGTTAGTGTCCATTTTAATGTATACTGAGTTTGTCCTGGGCCTACTTTCATGCCCAGACACAGCCTATTCCTTCTATATAATTGGGCAAATTACTCCTCTGAAAGTCATTAACAAACCATGTTATGTCTAAAACTGAATTTCTAATATTAAATTAGCTTCCTGGGGCCTATTGCTGAGCCAGCAAGAGGGCTGTTATTTAGAGAAACACAAAACTTAGTTGTATTTCTTGGTCTCATTCCAAAGACTAAGAAGAATAATGTTTACCATTTAATTAACCTCATGTGGCATGGCAAGAATGGATGGCAAATCAATAGCAAATGTCATTACAGTCACCTTGTGCAACTGTGGTTCTGTTTTTTGTGCAGAAGAGAAGAGATAATGAGTCTTGATTTCTACAAGAACCATTTCAGTGGTAGGCAGGTGATTAGTTACCGAGCTCAGAGCTTCCACTGGGGGTATATAAAGGGACCAGGCTACAAATCTCTTTGAGCAAGAAAGCCAGGGACTGGAAACACACAGGATGAAGGGCTATAGTTATTGCCTCCTTGAGCATTTATCTTCAGCTAAAAATCCCAAAATTAAATTTCATCAGTAATCAAACAGGAAATCAGCAGTTATTCCTTGCTTGTTATTTAAACATGATTTTTTCTGATTTTTCTTGTTTAGAGAGATGACATTAGGAATGTTTTTGCGGGGATGGAAGAAGGGGCTAATGTGCTGAGGAGCATATCTCTGGTTACTCCTCTGTTGAAACACCTTCACTGGGTGGTAGGCAATTTCTTGGCGGAATTCAAAGTACCCTTGAGTGCCCTACATGACCTAGGTCCAGATTATCTAAAATTATCTCCTTATATAAGCCAACCTGAGTTCTAAGAGCATTGCTGGAGAGCTTTTTCTTGTTCCAGCCACCATCACAGATATGCATGATGAGGACATGGAAGAGAAGCTTCTCAATGGTTGCTACCAGTCTGTATTACTTTTTTCCATGGACATCCAGTTAATCTCCTCCTTGCGTTCTTTCCAGTAACAGGTTAAGACCTTCCTATTTAGGTAAATCTTTCATTGATGTTTTAAAATCATTTTGTAGAGTAACACAAAGTCCTTCATATCAATAGGGTTCATTATCAACTATGGTTTCATGTACTCACATGAAGTCTGGAAACATATCCCCCACAAGAAGGGTGGTTTGGTGAGTGGGGCACACTGTCTTTCTGTTTTAATTTTTTGCATGGGTAAAAGCACTGAGCTGCTGAGCTTGTTAATCGAAAGGTCGCAGGTTCGATTCCGGGGAGCGGCGTGAGCTTCCGCTGTCAGTCCTAGCTTCTGCCAACCTAGCAGTTCGAAATCATGCAAATGTGAGTAGATCAATAGGTACCGCTCCGGCAGGAAGGTAACAGCACTCCATAAGTCATGCCGGCCACATGACCTTGGAGGTGTCTACGGACAACAATGGCTCTTCGGCTTAGAAATGGAGATGAGCACCACACCCCAGAGTCAGACATGACTGGACTCTATGCTGTCTTAGATTCCTTGGTGGGAGAAAGTTGGGGTATCAATAGATAGGGGGCATGTGATGCAATGAAAATATTTGTTGTTGTATTTTTGCTGTGGAAAAAGTTCATAAAAATGTACTTGGAGAAATATGGTTTCAAAGCTGTCTGTTAATTCTTTCTAATACCATTTTGCTATACAGAATCATAGATGCAGCTACTATTTCTCGCTTTGTGTGGGTTCTCCTTCACTAGAAGTTGCTCAATTATGTGTTACAGGGAATTTGAAGGACTTGTAAAGAATTCCACTGAAATGAGCGGGAACTGCATGAAATCATAAGACCCTACCCCTTTAATTGGGTTTGGCACAGAGCTTGCCCCATTAGTTTATGCCCTTTGGGTCCTCAGATACATACTAGATAGCATGAGAAAGGCTGGTTCTCATATACTGTGTTTGCTGCTCCAGTACAACCATTCCCTTCATACAAGAGCAGTATTTGCAAAGTCCAAATAGGTTGAGCTCTCAAACATTTAAGTAAATACATGGGAGATATGCAGTGACGTGGAAATGTAAATGTCATGCTGACCATTGCAAAAATAACTTGGGCATAAAGGAAAATATTTAAGATCTCATGGAAGGATTTCTAGTCATTGTTTGTGGAGTTGTGTCAGTTGTGACTTGAAGCCTATGAAAAGCCTCAGACACTTTTATTAAACTCAAAGTGTGTGACTGTTCTTGCCATTGTAATCAACAAGTCAAGGAAGGACTGAAAAAGCTCAACTATTATGAATTCTTTGAAATGTTTTTGAAAAGAAAGATTAGCATTCCTTCAAGGATTGCTAGAGATAACCCATTTTATATCCTTTCACTACGGCCCATCTACGCAGGAAATAAAATATTGTCGATTGCAAAGGTTTCTCTCATCTCTGAAAATATTCTTATGCTGGCTGGGCAATGCTGGAGGCTGCAGTGTAAAAATAACCTTTCCAAGGACTTTTCGAACAAAGACAAAACCATTTAAAAGGCAAAATGATGTAAAAGGTATGATTGATTAAAACAATCCAAGAAGAAAGCATAATGCTAGTTTGCTGGTTGTGGTTTGTTTCAGTAAACTTATATTATTTATTTCATATCAAAAAGCACTGCATAAATTAGTATAAACTGATAAAAATAGAAGGATCACAAGCAGCTAAATATCTTTTGACCAAAAATGGGCAACAGCATTGTCTGTAGCCTCCAACAATTATTCCTCTGTACTTGAGACAGGGCATAGTGGAGAAGCGTACAGATACAGAGTTGTCTGTTCTGCTCCACACTCACATAAGGTGGGGGATTCTTTTAGGTAGTGCCATTTTGCCAGGTTGTCTTTTGATCTGCCTACTCCACTTTTGAGTCTGTTCAGGGACTTCCAAGTTGCCCATTCTTGCTTTGCCCCTGGAGGAAGACCCTCGTGGGGAGCCACCCAACTGAGATTTCCTGGGTTGCTGCCCAGAGGAATACTCTAGCTGTTGCTGGGGGGACATTAAGAAGAATGGTGGTTCTTATGAAGCTTTCCTTTGATTTGAGTCTACTGGGAAGTGGATGGCTTTCACAGTACTCAACCTTATTTCTCTCACAGTTAGCAGCAACTTCCTGTCGTACATCAGAGTCATACACCAGCTAGCTTGTAGAGTTTATCAACAGGTGTAGGTTTAAGACATCCTGTGATTATTCTGCATGTTTCGTTCAATGATATGTTCACCTACTGGGAGTTGAACTGGGAGGACTTGTGCCAAACAGGGCAGGCATACTCAGCAGTTCAGTAAGACAAGGCTAGGGCTGATGTTCTTATTAATTTTGGGTCTGCACCCCATGTACTGCCAGTAAGTTTCCACAGGATGTTATTGCATGCAGCTACTTTATGCTTGGTGTTCATGCAGTGGTTCCTATATGTTAGTGTTCGATCTAAGGTGACACTGAGATATTTAGGATGGAAACTGAATAAACACCAATTTGCAACAACACCACTCAGTAGGGATTGGGAAGAAGCCCTAGGTAGTGTCACTGAGGTGTCAATGTGTTATTCCAGGATTTACAGTGTGGCATGATCTGAGCCTCCTTGTGGTCTCCAGATAACCGTTCTTACATTGATGCAGAACACGAATACAACATTCTTCTATTCATGACCCCAGACAGACAATGCCAGGCTCATTTGGCCACAGAGACTGAATGACGAAGAATACTCTATGCATGTGCTCTCTCCTGAGTCCTGAACCCTGTCTTTATCTCCACTGATAGATTCTAGCTCTGTTGTCTATTTGGCAAGCTTCTCCACATACTTCTAATGCAACATATTCCTTCTGTAGGATTCGGGAATTGGGAAATTGTATTAGTTATGGTCCCAGATAACAGAAACCCTGGAGGGAGCAGGGAAAGAAAGGAGAGGGCTGCAACTGACAGTTTCATGCTATTCTCAGCCCTTATGCTGCCACTGCTGTTATTGTGAGCATTCAGGCAACCTCTCCATCCACAAAGAAAATCAGGAGTGCCACTGAAAGCCTTTATCCATGATGTTGAGTGGCTCCCACATAAGTGTATCTATACTGATTTGAGAACTTTAAAGGAGTTATCCAAAGTTCTGAATGTATGGGGGTAGATTCAGCTCATCAATGGACTACAGTCTGGAGAAGATTTACTAGCTCTGTGATGAGGAAGCCACAAGTGACTACTGCTCCAAATCATGGAGCTTGACTTGCCCACACAAATGTTTTACTCCTAGTATCGAACAGACCATTAGGATTTCCTGTACAGTAGCCTCTGTGCCCACTATAGTAATATAAGCAGTCTGTGAGCCTAGATCATAAGCAGAAATTGAAGTCTAAAAGAAAAAAAAATCTTAAACTTCTCCATTAAGCTCTAGTGAAAGTCTCCACCAAGCTAGACAAAGCCTGTTGGCTATGTAGGGAATGTACTAAGAGTCCAATGAGCTGAAATAAACTCCCAGCATTTTGAATTATATTCATTGTTTGCAATTAATGTTTACAAGAATTATACCATTCTAAGCATATGATCCTTCACACAGTCAACATTTGCAGCAATGTTTTGTTGTGTTGCAGCTCCAGAAACTGAAGCGATCGCTTTCTTTCAAGACCAAAAGTTTGCGGAGTAAAAGTGCAGACAACTTTTTCCAACGGACAAACAGTGATGTGAAGTTGCAAGTAGATTTGCTATCAGAAATCAGCTGCAAAACAGGCCAGCCCCCCGATTCTGAAAGCCAGTCCTCCACTCCAACCAAAGTCCAACCCCAACAGGAAAACAACAAAACTCACATTTTCCAGGAACACATCTTCAAGAAACCCACTTTCTGTGACATCTGCAACCACATGATTGTTGGTAAGAGTGCTTTTTGTTTCATTATGAGCAAACTGTTCTGATGATGTGATAAAGTTGTAGCCCAAAGTAAAAACATTGGCCATTGGTATCTTTTGGAATATGCACATAAAACCTGTAGATAAAAATTTTGTCTAAGCAATCAGTGTCTTTAAATATATTCAATACATATTCAAAATAAATTGATGGCAGGAGTTTTGATGTTTGCTTTATAGTGTTAGGTCCAACTAAGAGAAAATATTTATGGAACAAATTCCCAAAGTCCTGGCTTCTGTAACTGAGTCTATCTAACTCAGTGGTTCCCAACCTGTGGTCTGTGGACCACCAGTGGTCCACAAAAACTAAACTATGGTCTGCAGCTTTACCTTTACTATGTTGCAACAAGAGCAACTGGTCTTGTGAAACCCTCTCATAGTGCCAAGGCTTATTAAATATGGTTTTCAGTGGGTGAGCAGATGGTGACCACTGGATGGCATATTTTTGTATCAGAAACTAGAGCTGATGTGGTCTATCCAATGCAATTTTCTGAATCAGCCCCCCAAATAACCAAACTGAATCTAAAGTTGACCAAAAACGGATTCATAACCCTTTTGGTTCTAATGTTGGAGTGGCCCCTGATCAAAGTCAAAAAAAGTTTGGAAACCACTGATCTAGCTGGAATGCAATCTTCCCTTTTCCCTATTGCCTTCCATTTTGCTGAGCAATATCATCTTTTTCTAATAAAAATGTACAGCTTTATCCTCAAAGACCATAAGCATATTCATATTATCCTTCTTTATACAAGTTAAAAAATGGTTCCTTATACTTACATAATTCCTGTTAGAAAAACAAAAGACTATTAGCTTTAGTGGAGCCCCCAGTGGCACAGTAGGTTAAGCTGCTGAGCTTGTTGACCGAAAGGTCAAAGGTTCGAATCCAGGGAGCTGTGTGAGTTTCTGCTGTCAGCCCCAGCTCCTGCCAACCTAGCAGTTCGAAAACATGCAAATGTAAGTAGATCAATAGGCACCGCTCTGGTGGGAAGGTAACGGTGCTCCATGCAGTCATGCCGGCCACATGACCTTGGAGGTGTCTATGGACAACGTCGGCTCTTAGGCTTAGAAATGGAGATGAGCACCACACCCCATAGTCAGACATGACTGGACTTAATGTCAGGGGAAAACCTTTACCTTTACCTATTAGCTTCAGTAGTAAAAGTAGAAGAAGAAGAAGATAAGGCTAGATCTAGACATTCAACTACATAGATGCATTGCACAGCTCAACAGCATTGTCTGTACCTTCCAAGCAGAGTAAATAACAATTCCCAAACTTGAAAAACAAAGATTGGAAGAACCACAAGGATTTATTTTTTAAGGGGCAGTTTAAGCTATGATGCACATGTTATTTGCTGTTACGTGCCAATAATAATTTATAAACAAAAATCTAGCCCAGACATGCTTGCCATTCATAATACACAAGAGTTTCAACTTTTTTGCTCTGCACAGCCATGACTTTGTTTGGAAGGAGAACTTCCAGAGCTTGGCATTGCTAAATTATCTTTCCAAAGTGGCTTCTTATAACACTATGTAACACTGTTCCTGGGTAATAAATGTAATTTCCTGAGTGGTTATATCATAAAAATGTATTAAACTGCAACAACGTTGTTTTTGCGGGATATCCTACAGCACATTTTGCTATAGTTTTTCAATGAATATCTCAGAGTGTCAACCAATTCAAAATAGTTTGTAGCAGCCACATGTTTTCTCTCTACATTAGACTTTCAGATTGTTGTTGTGACCATTTGAACAGATTAAATCCACAAGTTTTACAAATTATATTAAAATAAAATAGTTCTCAAAACAGAGAAACACCCCAATTTTGCTGCTTCATGGATTGGAATCTCATAATTCAGGCTATTCCCAGAGACAGTTCCTCAGTTTCTGAAACAGCTGAGCTAAAAATAAATAAGTAGAAGCCCCCCCCCCCCCCCATCATTATACAGTATTTGAAATGCAAGATAGGTTTCAAAGTTCTAAATCTGAGGACTACGGGAGTCTTCTGTTTTAAAAAAATGTTAATTCTCTTGCGATTTATTTAGAGCATGGAAAATATGCAAAAGAGGGGAAAAATTAAGACTGGTCTCATTTACCCATACAGAGCCTGCGTGCCCTGTCGTATATGCCTTTAGTCATATTTACCCCATTCTTCTCTAGTCTGAAACACCTTTGCTCTTATGGTACTGCAGAAAATAACATGCCAGTGCTGCACACTGAAAAGGATTTTTTTTAAAAAAATATTTCCTGTTGTGAGCCAGCTGGGGGGAAAAGATCTTTGTTTTCCACATGCTCTTTCCATGCTCTATTGCTTTGTCTGGATCAAATGGAAGAATCCCTAAAAATATTAAAACATCATCATTTTTCAGTTAAGCATAAATGCAAATCTATCACAAATTGATAAGAGAATTTGGTGAGTGGGGAATTAAAAGACATATATTCCTCTTAATAGCGATGTCCATTCCTGGGTGAGTGCTGTAGGTGCCATGGGATATATGTGACTTTCCTCTGAGAAGGCAGAGAGAGATGTGCACACTTAAAGGAGACAGCCAATGTCCCACATACTGTAAGAATATTTGCACCTGGAAATATCATTGTTAATATTTATTACTAGCTTGGGTATCCAGCATTGAAAAAGTTATTTTTTTAATTGTACAAAATGCATAAGGTTGTGGATTAAGAACAACTGACACTGTGCCAGGTTAACCCTGAGAAACTCAATCAGTACTTAAAGTTTGTTATGCTGGGCAAGTTTGCTCTAGATGCATCATCGGTGGGGTTCAGTGTGCTCTCAGGCTGTAGGGATAGGGTAAAGTACAACTCTCACTATGATGAGTCAGTCCTCTTAACCCCCCCCCCCCAAAGGTTGAGTTAGTCATGGGGGTTCTGTGTGCCAAGCTTGGTCCAGGTGGATCACCGGTGAAAGTTACATTTTTTCTGGTTGTGGGTGAACTATAACTCCCAAAAAGAAAAGTCAGCCCCCTCCCCCTACAAAGGTTGAGTTAGTCATGAGGGTTCTGTGTGCCAAGTTTGGTCCAGGTGGATCATCGGTGGGGGTTACAATTTTTCTGGTTGTGGGTGAACTATAATTCCCAGAAAGGAAAGTCAGTCCCCTCCCCCCAAACCTCCTCAGCAATAAAATTTGGTATGTGTGCCAGGTGTGGCCCAGATCCATCATTGCTTTGGTTCACAGTGCTCTCAGGATGTAGGTGAACTCAACTCCCCTAAATCTAGATGAATTTCCCCCAAAGACCTCCAGTATTTTTTTCTGATCATGCCAAGTTTGATCAAATTCCATATTTGGTGGAATTCAGAGTGATCATTGATTGCAGGGGAACTATCAATCCCAGTATCTACATCTCCTGTAAATCATGGTGTATTCTTCCAAATCTCTCTAGTATGTTCAGTTGCTGATCAATTATTCCGTTTGCTGTGTGCCGTAGAAAATAATAGGAAAGAGTTATGGGAGAGGCAGTGGGTGGGGTCATGCAAATTCCATACCAATGGAGAGAATCAGAAACACTGGGATGTCTATGATAAAGGAAACACATAAAATCTAGGATGAAATTGTTCCTGTATAAAAGCCTTCACTTGGATGGTGTGCAGTATAGATGTGCACGTTCTTTCATCCTTAGCTGTAACAATCACCAAAATATGTAACTTTCTTATATAAAACATTTTCTAGTGGGAGAAAATTGGTGAAATTTTTACAAAGCCCTGAAATGTTTTTTTAATCAGAAAAATGTTCTAAAATTCTTGCAACTACACCCAGTGTGGAGAAAACTTTTTTTAAGAATCAGTCTTGCAAGACATATTAAAATAAAGGGAGCATTGTACATTCTGCTTAGAATCATAGAGTTGGAAGAGACCTCGTGGGTCTTCCAGTCCAGCCCCCTGCCAAGAAGCAGGAAAATCACATTCAAATCACCCCCAACAGATGGCCATCCAGCCTCTGTTTTAAAGCCTCCAAAGAAGGAGCCTCCATCACACTCCAGGGAAGAGAGTTCCACTGTTGAACAGCTCTCATAGTTAGGAAGTTCTTCCTAATGTTCAGGTGGAATCGCCTTTCCTGTAATTTGAAGCCATTGTTCCGCATCCAATCTCCAAGGCAGCAGAAAACAAACTTGCTCCCTCCTCCCTATGACTTCTCCTCACATATTTATACTCCTCTCAGCCTTCTCTTCTACAGGCTAAACATGTCCAGCTTTTTAAGCCACTCCTCATAGGGCTTGTTCTTCAGAGCCTTGATCATTTTAGTCGCCCTCCTCTGGAGACATTCTAGATAAGCTATAAGAAGTTATTCATCATACACACACACACACGTCTCACTATCAATTGATCTCCATCCTTGAAGGAGGAACGACAACACAATTTGTTTAGTTACGAATTGCAAGGAAAACCTCTGTTGTTATTCATAATACTCTCCTTGGAGCAGAGAGTGTTGGACCTTGCTGCTGGATAGCAAAATGCCCAGGTGCTATCAACTGCTGTCATCTTTTCACAGGGGGAAAAATTGCACTTTTGAGCCCAACATTAATGGGGTTTGTTGTAGCCTTGCTACCAAATCATCACTTTTTTCAGGACACACCTGTGACTCCAGTTGGCATATCGTAGTGCCAACAACTCCCTCAATGACAACATTTGGCTTTCTCTGAGAAATACAGATTATGCCGTGCTGTATTGAACATTAAGTATACACAGCTAGTAAGCAAGGAAGAGGCAAGTTTTATCTCAGGGCTGACTCCCTAATATGATTTCCTTTTTAAAAACATAGGGTGGAATTGTATGTATTAAATGTTTGCATGATTAAGACTCCTGATGGATATGGCATTATTTATTTATTCATTTATTTATTTACAACATTTATATGCCACCCTTCTCACCCCGAAGGGGTCTCAGAGCGGCTTACAAGTAAAATGTAAATACAATACATTATATTATTACCATAGCACAATATCAGTATATTGTACTATA